TGTGGTGCGGCGTTTTTCTAGTCTTACGTTAGCCATGTAAAAATCAAGTTTCTAGATGTTCATTATGACTGCATAGAATGTGTACAAACCCAAAGACATACAAGGCTTAATTTTTTGGCTCATAAGTGTTATAAATAAATTATGAACAAATACTACTTTTAAAATAGTAACCTTATAATTTTATTAGTCTCAAAAAAAAAAAAAAACACCTAGGTTAGGGGTTAGGCAAACTACAGCCTATAAATCAAATCTGGCCCAACTCGCTGCTGGGCATGGTGGCACACTGCTGTAATCCTAGCAGCTCAGCAGTCTGAGGCAGGAGAATAGCAAATTCAAGACCAGTCTCAGCAACTTATTGAGAGCCTGTCTCCAAAAAAAAAAAAAAAAAAATCAAAAGGCTTAGGGATGTAGCTCTGTGGTAAAGCACCTCTGGGTTAAATTCCCAGTACCCCCACCCTCCAAAACTCTAGCCCACCTCCTGTATTTATAAATAAGTTTTGTTTTATTAAAACAAGACCATGCCCATCTGTTATATATTGTCCGTAGCTGCTTTCCCAAGACAGAAGTAACAATAGTTTCAACAGATTTGACTCCCTGGCCCTTAACCAAAAAAAATTTGCCAAACATTATTCTAAACAAAAGTAATTGCTGGTAAATGACAATTTTCTTACACTTCCTTTAGCAACTAGGACTTTCCATAGATAAGCATTTATTTTATATACTAGTAAAAATGACTACAGTTAGGTCAAGCTTTTGCATTAATGCTCAAAACCACTGAAGTCAAGCCAGCAAAGGTGTTTATAATAATTCTCGTTTGCTGCCTAACGATTATTATAAAAGCTGATAGCTTAAAACATTTATTATCTCCTGGGTTTCTCTGTGGGCCAGGGATTTAAAGTTGGTTGGTTAATGTCATTTGAAACTTGATTAGAGGTGGAGGATCTACTTCTAAGGGAGTTAACTCACATGACTGACAAAGTTGTGCTGACTGCTGACAGATACTTCAGCTCCTCTCTACAGGACCTCATAAGTGTTTTCTGGCATAGCAGCCAGCCTTCCCCAGAGTGAATATTCCATGAGAAAAAGTCAGGTAAATATGATCCCTTTTTATAACTTTGCCTCCAAAGTAGATCACATCACTTCCTCCACATTCCATTACAGAACTGAGTTACTAAGTCCAAGCAACACTGCTGAGGTTTGAGGTTAGGCTCCACTTTTTTAAGGGAGGCCATCAAAAAATCTAGATAGCAACACTACTTCAGGGTTCCAAACATGAATAAACAGCTTCAGCAACAAAACAGAGTCTTATCTGATTTTTTTTAAATCTGTGCTTAATCATTTTCATAATATATATTTTGTTTTACTAATGACAGAAAACAGGGTTTATCACCAATTGTTAACATTCTCCAAAGAAAAAACTTAGCCAACAAAAAAAGCAAAGCACTTCAGCTTTTTCTATCTGATGCAATGATGATGGGAGACAATTATAGTTTGGTTGTATTTCTCTACCCTACCCCCAACCCCTGGCAGAAAGACAAATTATGATGAATAGGACCATGATCATAAGTAACTGAAAAGTTGGACCAGGAAAACAAGTCTTTATGATTCAGAATCACATACAAGATTTTCACAGATATAAACAAAAATAACAAGCAAAGAGAAATTCAGATCTGCATTCAAAAGGGGGGCGGGGCAGTTTGAGGGAGAATGTGTGGATTATACCATGATTTGCATCAGAGATACTTCTAAAACAAGAAATATATGTATATTATTACCTGCAACAATTAAATATATTTTTAAAATGTTTTGGTCAGTAGACACAATGAAGACTTGGCCAAACACATCTGTTACAACTGTGGAATTTCACTACAGGCTATAAGAAGGGCTGGGGAACAGAACTTTTCCATAGAGGAAAATGAAGTAAGAGTCATTTTAATTTCCTCCGCAGAAAGCTCAAAATGTTCCTAAACTGGACATTAAACTGCTAAGGGGCTGGGGATACAGACCGGATACTTGCCTAGAATACAAAAGGGAAGATAAAAAGCACTGCTTTAAAACAAATTCGAATCCTTGTACTAGGCTAGAAATTCATATCCACCCAGAACCTGTAAATGTGAACTTATTTAGAATGTGAACTTATTTAGAATGTGAACTTTAAATTAGAGTTTTTGCAGATGGTTATCAAGTTAAGATGAGGTCACACTAGATTAGGATGAAAGCCCTAACTCAATGACTGATGATGCTCTTAGAAGGAAAGGGAAATATGGACACAGAGATACACAAGAAAAACAGTATGGTATGTGACAAAAAACAGAGATTGGAGTGCCTTTTCTCCAACTCCTAGTAACCCAAGAAGCAAGAACAGCACAGTGTGGAGGCACATGCCTGAAATCCCAGTGATTGGAGGTTTAGAGAGAAGAATCACCAAGTTCAAGATCACAAGACCCTATCTAAAAAAATAAAAAGGACTAGAAATGTAGCACAGTGGTAAAGTGCCCCTGGGTTCAATTCCCAATCTGCAAAAATATAAAAGAAGCCAGGAGAAAGGCATGGAGTAGATTCTTCCTGAACCCCAAGAAGGAACCAAGCCTGCCAAAACTACAATTTCATATATATAGATATATATATATTTTTTTTTTGGGGGGGGGGGTCAGTGTTGGGAATTGAACCTAGGGCCTTGTGCATGCAAGGCAAGCACTCTACCAACTGAGCTATATTCCCAGCCCTCATATTTTTTTTAATATTTTACTTTTATAGTTGGACACAATACCTTTATTTATTTATTTTTATGTGGTGCTGAGGATCGAACCCAGGGCCTCACACATACTAGGCTAGTGCTCTACCGTTGAGCCACAACCCCAGCCACCCTCTTTTTAAAAAAATATTTATTTTTTAGCTATAGTTGGACACAATACATTTATTTATTTATTTTTAGGTGGTGCTGAGGATGGAACCCAGATCTCACACGCACAAGGCGAGTGCTCTACCTCTGAGCCACAACCCCAGTCCCTAATTTCATATTTTTTACCTCTAGAATTACGGAAGAATAAGTTTCTATTGTTATAAGCCATCAAATTTATAATAATTTATATTCTGACAGGCCTAGGAAACTAATATAGCCACCCCACTCATATTAAAAATTTTAATAATTTCATTATTTTTAGTATTAGAGATATTTATCTTTAGCCTGAAACTGAAATATTCACCAAATAAGATAGATAGATACATAGATAGACAGATAGATAGATAGATAGATAGATAGATTTTAGTTCTAGATAGACATGATACCTTTATTTAATTTATTTATTTTTATGTGGTGCTGGGTATGAAATCCAAGGCTTCACACATGCATGGCGAGTGCTCTACCACTGAGCCACAACCCCAGCCCCCAAATAAGGTTTTTAGTTCACAAATTCAGAACAACTGGAAATGTCATCTCTATCAAAGATACTCCTCCTTTTGGGTACTGTCACAAGGATGAATTTGACTTAGACTCCAGTGGCCTATGTACTTTGCTATTTAGGGTACCAGAAGTGAAGTCCTCCTAAAGGCCAGTAAAGCACTGTCCATATTAGAGGCTCAATTCACCTTAGCTGATATCCAATAGCCTACAAAACTTACATCTTTGTTGAATTGCTCCTACTAGAACACAGGTCTAACACAGAACTACAGATTTCAATAAGTTTACCCTCAGTAGGGCATAGTGGTATATGCTTATTATCCTTGCTACTATGAAAACTAAAAGTAGGATAGAAAGTTCAAGGGCAGTCAAGACAATTTACTGAGACCCAGTCTCAAAGTAAAATAAAAAGGACTGGGGATGTGGCTAATGGCAGAGCCCTTGCTTAGCATGTGCAAGGTCCTATGTCCAACCCTCTGTACTGCACCCAAAAAAAAAAAAAAAAAATTATCTTCCAGATTTAAAGTCTTCTTTTCAAATTTACAGTGTAACAATGATAATTTTTCTAATAATAATTACTGGTAAGGTGTGGATTAACTTACCATTTTACCTATTCAATTTTGAGTTGACAAAAACATGATTCATGTAAGCCAAGATATTTTTTTAAATGAGTTAATATAATTTTTTTATTTGTTCTTTTTAGTTGTACATGACAGTAGAATGTATTCTGACATACATACATGGGATATAACTTCCCATTCTTGTGGTTGTACATGATGTGGAGTTATACTGGTCATGTATTCAATATGAACATAGGAAAGTTACGTCCGATTCATTCTTCTGTCTTTCCTATGCCATCTCCCTAACCCTTTGTCTAATCCAATGAATTTATATTCTTCCCTCTGTATATCAGAGAGAACATTTAGCTTTGGTTTTTTGGAATTGGACTATTTCACTTAGCATGATAGTTTCCAGTTCCATCCATTTGCCAGCAAATGCCATAATTTTATTTTTCTTTATGCCCAGATATATTTATGTCAAACACAAACCAGTACAAATATGCATAGATGATTTAACATACTAGTGTGAAAGTACAGGACAAATTTCTAGGGTATTTTTAGAGTAATGAATATTATCAAGCTAAATGTTTCACATTATCCAATATCATTACTATGAATTAAGAAGAGGTATCACAAGAAGAAAGATAAAACTTCTGTCACTTTTATACCCTTTAGAATTGTGCAATAACATTTCTGTGACTTAACTAATTCTTGAAACACCCAAGAGAAGTAGATTCAGACTCTCCAAAAAGACATTTTAATGTAAGCATATCTTCTGATTAAAATATGCGCCTGTACAATTAATTAGACAACTCAAATAAATATTATAAGTTACTGAATAATTAAGTAGCAAGCACTGACTACTGACCACACAAAATTTCCTCCAAAGATGGCTTTTGCAGAACCTGGGGATGTAACCCAGTGGCAGGGTTATTACCTAGCATATACAAGGTCCTGGATTGCATTCGGGGGGCGGGGGGGGAGTACGACCAATTTTCTATAAAGGCTTGCCTCTATATAAAAAAAAAATATTGACCTACCTTGCTTTCGAACATCTTCTACAGCAGCCACAAGCTCCTCCTTGAGAAACTGACTCTCCTTTGCAATTTTATCCCCCTTCTCCAAGAAATTCTCAGTTGCTTGTTCAACAGATGCAGCCAAAACGTGGGCCTTCTTAGAACGACCTCTCTTTTTATTAGAGGGTCCCTTACTGTTGGTGTTTACCAGGGTTGTAACCTAAAGGTTTCATTTTAAAAATTAATTAAATCGCAGTCATCTAAAATGAAAACAAAAGAAAGACTAACAACCTAAAAGATAGCATCAGTAAATTATTCATAAGGAAACATTGCAGTAAGCATTAAATAACAACTCTTACCATATTTAAGATATAAAGCAATGATACTAAACTTAGGTTTCAAAATAACTTAGCTTCCTTAATGTGTAAGATAATATACAAATATAAATATAAACGTGTGTGTAGAGGTACCAGTGATTGAACCCAGAGGCGCTTAACCACTGAGCCACATCCCCAGCAGCCCTTTTTTGTTTTATTTACAGACAGTTGAGTTACTAAGTGCTTCACTAAGTTGCTGAGGCTGGCTTTAAAGGCTGAGTAAGGAACCTTAGCCTCCCAAGTCGCTAGAAACAGAGGCTTACACCACCATACCCAGCAATAAAAAATATTTTGACTTTACAAATTAGGAACTTGGGAACACGGAATATTGATGAAAATGGTATTATTTAAAAATAACTTTAACTTCTGAATCATTGTCTCTGCTGATTGGCTAGAGATCTGTTTAATCCTTCCTTGGAAAATAAAAAAACATAAGAAATGACTAGTTCAAAGTCCAAATTCTTATTTTATGTATGTAAAATGTTCAGGTTGCAACAAGATTTCCACAGTTCTCAGCCATGCTCAGCGGTTCTTTGTGTAGGTTGTTTGACACTGTTGTACCAGCCTATAAGAGGAAAGGCCAAACTCACAGAAGGTTGTTCATTTAGAAGAAGAAACTGTTAATGACGTACAACTTCCTGAATTTGTGTTTTCTCACAAAAGCCTTATAAGTTCAGTATTTCTAGTTACCCTACCAAGATAATGTAATTATGTTTGATCTCCAATTTTGGTGTTTTTTCAACAAAGTTTTGTTTGTAAGCAAAACAAAAAAAAAAAAGAAAGAAGAAATAAGTTAAGATATCTCTCTTCTATGTCACCATGAAGTTCTAGAAAGATTAACAATATGAGGGCTGGGAATATAGCTCATTTCGAAGATTGCTTGCCTAACATGCACAAGACCCTGGGTTCAATCCCCAGCATCACAAATAAATAAATAAATAAGTTGACAATGAATTTCACCAGAAAGCCACATTTTGTCATTGTTATCAATGTTTACAAAACATTTTTAAGATAATTTGCTTCTGAAGTCTTTGTTCAGTTTATTCTCACAAATCTTAGCAATTAATTAGTAAAGGTCATTAAAAAGAAGAGTGACTACCCATAGAAGCCTACTGTGATGATGCTTTAAGTCCCAGAATACTAATCAGTATTAATATGTATAATACCTTATGATCCGTAGGATGAAATGATTAATGATTTGTTATAGTGTAAATCTGCCAAACAAAAGACGGCTATAGTACACGGGGTCCAGAGAGTAAATATTCCACTCTTACCATACACTCCTATATAGAGATATATAAAATACTAGTTTACATCTGTAAGTTGGAATAGAATTTTTTTTAAAAGATTGTCAAATGCTACTTACTTGATATATCTCATATTCTCTCACACATACATGTAAACTATACCAAAATACTAAAAGCGCATAGCTAATTACTGACAATTGATAAATGCCATCACATTATGATACATGTATTTGTAACAGAATACCCAAAACTATGCCCTCAAATTCAATTACCTGCTAATTAATCCTACACAATGAAAGGGCATTAAGCTGGGGGTTAGGGTTATGGCTCAGTGGTAGTACACTCGTCTGGCATGTGTGAGGCACTGAGTTCGATCCTCAGCATCACATAAAGATAGATAGATAGATAGATAGATAGATAGATAGATAGATAGATAGATAGATGGATAAAATAAAGGTATTGTGTCCATCTACAACTAAAAAAAATTTTTTTTTAAAAAAAAGAAAACAAAGGGCATTAAGCTGAGTAAGGAACCTTAACAAGGATCCATATCACAACTTCCTTGAGTTTCCCCTTTAAGGAAGGGTGAAGTTCTCTCAAAGTGCCAATATCTAAAAATCTGCTCTATATACCAACAGCCTCCACTATTGGCAATATGACTCAAGAAAATTGTAGCAATGTGTTCCAACGAATTAAATAAATCTCTGTATCAATATTCAATTATTAGATGAGCCAAATCATATAAAAACTATCACACTAAATTCAACCAATCATATTAAGACTTTGAAAGAAATAACCTTGGTCTACTCAAGCCTACTGCTATAGAACCATGCTACAACTATGTATTTGTGTTTTCAGATTCTTACCTGTGTAACAAGAGGCTCCAATAGTCTTTCAACTGCCAAAGTCCTGATCTCTAGACTTTTGGGGTCCCATTTGAAGTTTATGTTGCCTGTGTGAACAGCAGTCATTTCTAAGAAAGAAATCAAAGGCCAAAGTCAGGCAAATATCAAAAACAATCGTGAAATATACATATAGCAAATATTCTCCAACTTAAAGACTTTTATATAAGAAAAGCTATATATATACAAGGTAAAATAATTATAACTAGCATGCACATGAGACCCAGTAACTTTTACAACCTCTTAACAATTTCGAGTTTACAAACATTAAGGGTACAAACAAGTACTCTCAAACACATAGAACTTTTCCCTTTGGGCTGCTCTGTTACCTAGACATTTCTATTTCCAGTTTTCCACCCTACCTTTAGAAGCAAGATGAAAAGCTAACATGAATAACAGCTTTTTTTTTTTTTTTTTTTAATTTTCCTTGGGCTGGGAATGTAGTTCAGTGGTAAAAAGCTTGCCTAACTGCACAACACAAGGGCCAAGTCGATCCCTAACACACACAAAAAAATTCTTCTTTTAAAAAAAAAAACTAATACAAAAGATTCGGGGCTGGGGATGTGGCTCAAGCAGTAACACACTCACCTGGCATGCGTGGGGCACTGGGTTCGATCCTCAGCACCACATAAAAATAAAGATGTTGTGTCCACTGAAAATTGAAAAATAAAAAAAAATTTTTAAAAAAGATTCTAATTTTTCTTACTCCACAACAGTTATACTGCAATATTAGTTAAATAGGTATACCTCAATTCATTTTTTTATAAATTCCTAGAAAACATTTTGTCTTGTTCTTTTTTTTTTTTTAAGTTTTCGGCAGACACAACATCTTTGTTTGTATGTGGTGCTGAGGATCGAACCCAGGCCACACGCATGCCAGGCGAGCGCTTGAGCCACATCCCCAGCCCCCTGTCTTGTTCTATTAAAACATAATACCTAAGTCTGGTGCCTTGTGCACCTACAACTAGTATCACTGAAAACCAGAAGAAGGTTAAGATGCACTCAATCATATGTCACTAGATCAGTTTCAGTAGAAATTTCCATTAGAGCTTTTAAGACTGTGGGGGGGAATGTTCAATGAAAAGAACAACAAAAACAACAACAACAACAACAATGAGCCTAGCACAGCTGCATGTGCCCACAGTCCCAACTACTTGGGAGGCTAAAGATTGCTTGAGCCCAGGAGTTTAAGACCAGACTGGGGAAGATATCAAAAAATTAAAAAGAACAAGAATAATGAGTGCAACTACTTATAACTGAGAAACTGATGTGACTCCATTTTTGAAAATAAATAAATAACACCAGCTTCTACCTCAAGGCCTGTCCTAAGGAAGGGGACGTGACCCTTGTCCTGGGAAAAACCTACAGAGCACTCCTAAGTACATACTCACCCTGCTGAATTGTTTGTCTGCAAATAACAGGAGAGATCTGTGGCGCCAGGTGTCCCTGACTCAGGCTAGGTGAGGACCCATAGTAACCCCCTAGCAACCACCAATAAGCTTGAGACAAAGAAAATACCTGGAATGCCAGATGACCCCTAGTAGTTTATGGTGGTTAATAACATGTTGGGAAACCATGTAGTTTAGCATGTATACCCCTTGTGGCCTAAACCAATCAATTCAAAGGAATCCCCTCTTGTACTAACCAATCACCCCTACCCAACTTGTTCCTGCCAGTGAATGAGCTAAACAAGGTTAAGATTTGTTGTTTGATTTTCCCGCGGTATGGAATGATTTGCTGTGTGATGTTGTGACGCATAGAGTATCCCCCCAAAACCTATAAAATCTCACTGGACAAAGGACCAGGACTCACTCCCTGGGACCACTGCATCGGGAACGACTATGAGTCCAGGCTCGAGCTTGCAATAAAAACTCTTGTGTGATTGCATCGGATTCGGCTCCTGGAGGTCTACTGGGGTCCCACGAATCTGGCATTACATAACCAAGTACATAAATACCCTTAGGATCACAGGTTATGGATCCTCAAAAGAAAAAAAGCAGCTGGGTATTGAGGTGCACGCACACCTATAATCCCTGCAACCTGGAAGGCCGAGGCAGGAAGATCACAAATTCAAGGCCAGCCTAAGCAACTAGGTCTTTTAAAAAATGAAGTTTAAAGGGCTAGAGATATAGCTTAGTGGGAGAGTACCCCCCACACACATTCAACCCCCCCAATACCATAAATCAAATCAACTTAAATTTTCCAGTAGCCACATTTAAAAAGATTTTTTAAAAACTGGATGAAATACATTTTAATATATATCTAGCCTAACATATATAATGTTATCATTCTAAGATATAATTAATATTTTCAAATTAGAGATACTTTACCTAAGCTGTAAATATTCAAAATATGGTATCTATTTTATACTTAGAGCAAATCTCAACTCAGACATGCCACAATTCAAGTATTCAGTCGCCCTTGCTACTTGACTACTACTAGACAGTGCAATACAGACCCTTTTTCAGACTCTTTCAAATTCAAGTAATATAACTGAAAAGGTTACAAAGGAAAACATATTAAGCTAGGTGAAGCAACTTGGGAGGCTGAAGAAGGAAGATTTCAAGTTTGAAGCCAGCCTCTGCAACTTAGCAAGGCCCTAAGCAACTTGGCAAAAGCATCTCAAAATAAAAAATAAAAAGGGCTAAGGATACCATTCAGTAGTTAAGTACTCTTGGTTCAATTCCCAGTTTAAAAAAAAAAAGATCGGGAGGAAGGAAGGTAGGTAGATAGGTAGAAAACATATTGAAATGTACTTAAAAACTGTTTTACAAACAATGTGTGATACAGTAATATATGTGTTTCTATATTAACACATTAAATAAGATTTGACGAGGATCTGACAAGAGGTCTCTGATAACTACTATGAAGTATAAAGAAAATGAACATTTGAGAAACTAGCCTCTACCTCAGAGCAAAGCCTGTCCAAGGAAGGGGGCGTGACCCTTGTCCTTGGAAAGAACCCACAGAGCACTCCCAGGCACATACCCACCCTGATGAGTTGTTTATCTACAAATAACAGGAGAGATCTGAGGAGCCGGCTGTCCCAGACTCAGTCAGGCCAGGTGAGGACCCACAGCAACCCCCTAACAACCACCAATCAGCATGAGACAGGGAAAATACCTGGGATGCCAGGTGGCCCTCCCAGTAGTTTATGGTGGTTGATAACATGTTGGGAAACCATGTAGTTCAGCACGACACCCCTCGTGGTTTAAACCAATCAGTTCAAATGACTATCCCTCTTGTACTAACCAATCACCCTTACCCAACTTGTTCCCACCAGTGAATGTGTGCTAACCATGTTTTAGAGTTGTTTTATGATTTTCCCGCGGTGTGTGATGATTTGCTAAGAGATGCTATGATGTATGTTAAGTCCCTGCCTTTCCCAAAGAGTATATAAAACTGCTGCAAACCCTGGGCTCAGGGGGCGTGTGGAGGACAGAGCTAGCTCGCAATAAACACCTCTTTGCTGCTTACATTGATCTTGGTCTCTGATGGTCTTTTGGGGGTCCTGAATTCGAGCAGAACCCATTGTTTTCAAGATATTGTCTTACTGTTATTGCAAATATGAAAAGCACTGATATTCCTGACAAAATTATTGGTACAGCTGAAAACTCTAGTTTGTTGCCTACGTTAATAGTGGAAGGTCAATTATAACAAATTAAAAAAATAAAATAGAAGGAAATGCTAAATTCCTGTTAGAAGAAACTGAAAACAAAAACAAATTTTTTTTAGTCCCAATTGAAAAAATTGATCAACTCTAGATTAAGAAAGCTTAATATGAATTTTAAGTTTATAGGAAGTACAGGGGATACAGAAGCATGTTAAGCAACACCACGAGAAAGTCGACAAATCTAAAAGAGTGCATTTCACACGAATCATACACCTTCAAAATGTCAACATAAGGGAAGGGATAAGTGAAGGGAAAGCCAGGAGATAGGCGAGCAAGAAATGAAAGGCCGAGATCAGGTAGATATATACATGAGAGTTTATTTGTTAGAGTTGACAAAGGCCATCTCTCCATAGATGGAGAGAGGCAACACAGGCTTGGGGTTTGAGACTTTTATGGGGGAGGCTCAAGGATTAGAGCTGGGTTGGTCCTAACACAAGCGGTTAAGGGTAGGGTTGGTATGAGGGAGTTGTGTAGTGCCCTTGGGCGGGAAAGAATGCTGGGAATGCAGGTGGTGAAATGTTGGATTATGAGGGAGTGATGAGACTTTCTCAGTGAGGTCCTTGTGCAGGAAAGCAAAATTTTTCTTAAAATGGCAGCTATCACTTAAGATGGCTGTCCAGATGACCTTACAGTGAAAAGCCTATTCTAGACTACTAGACTCAAGAGATAAATGAATCTAAAGCAATACATAAACCTTGATTAAACCCTGAATTGAAACAACTCTATAATATTTGTAGGAACTGGTAAATCTAAGTTTTATTAGATATTTTATATTATAGAATTATAAGATTTCTAGGCATAATAATGGAATTCTGGCTAAACAGAAAAATGACTATTTTTAAGAAATGCATTCTGAAATATTTATAAGTGAAATTTCAAAATGTCTGCAATATTATTCAATAAAAGTAAAAATGAATACTTAAATACAGATGAAGAAATATAAGGCCAAGCACAGTGTAGTATGTGCCTGTAGACCCCATGTACTTGAGGTCTACAGGCACATACTACACTGTGAGGTTAAGCTGGGAGAATCTCTTGAGCCAGAAGCGTTCAAGTTTGGTCTGGGCAACATAGCAAGACCCCATCTCAAAACAAAAAAAAAAAAAAGGAAGGAAGGAAGGGATGGATCATATATAGCTATACCTGCTGAATCTAGGTAAAAGACATTTGGGTGTATGTTCATAGAATTTTTCTTTTACTTCTTTGTATATCCAAATTTTCTAATTTATAAAACAGGGGAGACATTGCAGAAGTTTACGGAAAATATTCAAAATTCAAACTACTGAATATAGAAAAGTGATTTCCAAATAATCTGAAACAGTGCATGGTAGTACACACCTGTAATCCCAGGACTTGAAAAACTGAGACAGGACTGCAAATCTAAGGCCAGCCTCAGCAATTTGAAAAATTGCTGTCTCAAAATTTTAAAAAGAGGAAAAAAAAAAAAGAGGGGAGAGTGGGGAAAGCTGGAGATGTAGCTTAATGGTAGATTACTTGCCTAGTATCTGCAAGGCCCTGAGTTGGATTCCCAGTTGTAAGGTCCTTGCTTAACATCTGGATGGCACTTAAGCCACCATTTTAAGAAAAATTTACCGATTTCCCCACCCAAGGCCCTTTCTGAGAAAGGCTCACTACTCCCTCATACCAACCCCACCCTTAATCGCTTGCTTTAGGACCCGCCCAGCTCTTATCCCAGAGCCTGCCCCCAAAAGTCATGGAACCCAAGCCTGTATTGCCTCTCTCCATCTATGGAAAGATGGTCTTTATTTGTCAGCTCTGACAAATAAACTCTCATGTGTATCTCTGCCTGGTCTCTGTCTTTCATTTCTGGCTCACCCATCTCCAGGTTCCTCACTTTCCTTTCACCAGTACTGGGAGAAAACAGGAAGGCAGGGTGGGAGAGAACGGGAAGGAAAAAAGGAATCCGAATCATAGAACCACAGAAATGGAAGTGCCAATCTAGATGTGTTTGTCTAATC